TTGAAGATTTGCCAAGAGTAGTGTCAGGAGCCATGGAGGGCAGAGCGTGGAGGGTAGAGCATGGAGGGCAGAGCATGGAGGGCAGAGCCATGGAAGGCAGAGCATGGAGGGTAGAGCATGGAGGGCAGAGCCATGGAAGGCAGAGCATGGAGGGCAGAGCCATGGAAGGCAGAGCATGGAGGGCAGAGCATGGAGGGCTATTGACACAGTGGAAGTTTGTTTTCGGGAACACTCACCACTTGCCACATCTTGACTGCCTGTGTCCATATGGTTCATGTGTTGAGAAAGGGCAAGACCTCAGGCTCTAGCAGCCTGCGTGCTGCTAAGCATGGGAGAACAGCCTGAGTTGTAGCAATGTGTGAACCCTGGCCACACAGGCTGGTTGCTATTGTCCTCTGGAGGCTTCTTCACCCATGAGTCTGGAGCATGGGCTGGGGTGATCCAAGACAGCTCTGCTGGGACTGTTGCCCAGAGGCCCTACATGTGGCCTTTCTGTGACAGCTGGGTTCTAAGAGGGAATATCCACAGACCATCCAGAGGGCAAGCGTTTCAAGAGACTGAGGAGGGAGCTGCAGGGTTTCTTCTGACTTAGCCTTGGAAGCCATACAGAGGCCCTCTTGCATGCATTCCTCATAGGGGCAAATATTGGTTCTTTCAGGGTGAAAAAATATTTTTGTGCTTTTTAGATATAAAACACAGATATAGATGGATGGATGGATGGATGGATGGATGGATGGATGGATGGATGGATGGATGGATAGATGGATGGATGGATGCACGGATAGATGTACAATATGTCTTTGGTATTAACATTTCATGAGGGGAGATATTTAGGGATATTCCTTTTTAGGGATTTTTTTTAAGGGATATTCATTGTTATCCTAGGATAACAATGAAAAAAATGTTGAGAAACACTGTTCTAGTCCACTGGTTGAAACAGTCACAACTCACTCAGACCCAAGGGGAAGGGACATAAGCCCCAACTCTTAATGGAAGTAGTGTCAAGAAATTTGCAGCCATGTTTTTAAACTGCCTCATGGAAGAATCATAATTTAGTGCCTTCATGTCACATATAAGAATAGCAGGACCTGAAGGGGTGAAGCCACCTGGTCCCCAGTCACAAGGCCAGAGAGCAGAGTTGGTTCTGCCTCTGAATGGCAGCCTGGAGCTGGCCCACACAGCATCCCTGCAGGCCCATCTGTGCGCTTTAGAAGGTCACTTCCCAAGCCTGCTGGGGGCACCATATGGTCCCAAGCATAAAAATGAGGCTCTGAAACACGTATCCTTTACTCAAAGGTCACAGTCCAGCAGCCATTACTTGCACAGACATGTCTTGCTTGGGTTCAGTGGGTGAATGATTAAACAAATTATTGTACACTCACGCAGTGGAATCCAGCTGAGCAATAGGAAGGAATCAACTATTGATTGTGGTAAGTGCAACAACTTGTATGAATCTCAAGGCTCAGTGAATAAAAAAGTCAATCTCAAAATATTACATACTACATAATTCCATTTGTCCTCAAAAGGACAACACTGTAGACATGGAGAACAGATTAGTGGTTTCCAGGGGACAGGAATGGGATAGGTGTGCAAATACATGGGACAGCATGAGGGAGATCCTTGTGATGATGTATGGTTTCTATATTTTGACTGGGGTGGTAGTTACCTGGATCTATAAAATTGCGTGGAGCTCTACACAAACACATCCATAAACCAATGTATGTTAAAAATGGTGAAAACTGAATAAAGTCTGCAGTCCAGTTAACAGTATTGTAACAATGCCAGTTTCCTGGTTTGGGTATTGTCCTACAGTTATATAATATGTCACCATTGAAGGACACTGGATGAAGGATTCACAGGTCTCTATGTTATATTTGCAATGTTAAGCCTATAATTTTTTCAAAATAAAAATTTCAAAAATTAAAACCTCCAGGGGCTCCCTGTGGTCTCCAGAACTCAATTCAAACTCCTTGGTCTGCCATGAAGCCCTTTCATAACGAGGCTCCAGCCCCATATCTCACTTCTCCCTCGCGTGCACTCTGCACACATGGTAATGGTAATGTGGCTCCTGAAGGTCCTGGTTTCCAGCATGCTCTACGACTCTCCCCTACCATTGTCTGGGACAATCATCCCCCAGTCTTCTGCCTTATTTTTATAAATCAAGCCCTCAATTTTCCTTCTCCGCCTCACTTCTGTGTCCGTGCAGAGCACTGTGCAGACCCCTGACACAGATTCTAACACACTGCATCGCTATTGTTAGTCTACATCTTAATTGTCCCTTTAAAGGAGTAGGGACTCTGCATAGTTTAAGTCCTTATCTGTAACGCCCAGAATAATGCACCATAGACACACAATAAAAGTTTATTGAATGAATGAGTAAATAAAGGGAAAAAGGAATGGAAGAATAGAGGAAAAAAAGGGAGTAAGGAAGAATGGAAAATTCAAAGCATGGAGAAGCCACTGTTTCTTTCTCCTGCACCTGCTGTCCGCCATCGGTCTACTCTTTCTTAACTCTTCCCTTCTGGCTTCTGCTCACATTGCTCTGTTGATATGCTCTTCTGAACTTCGTTAGTGACCTTGTGAATGATAAGTTCAATAGCCGCCTCTCAATCGCGGTCCTCCTCCACCTCTCCAGCTCTGCTTTCCTCCTTGAAACATTCATGGCTCTTGACTTCTCATCTTGCACCTGTTTGTTTCTGCTTCAGCTCCTTGTTCAATGTCTCTTCCTCCTACCCTTTGTCTTTAAATGTAGGTGCCCAGAGGGCTCTGTCCTTGGTTCTGACCTCTTCCCTCCATGCTTTCACTTTTTCCTGGCCTCCAATTAATCTTTCTACACACGTTCCTCTCCAGCGCTCCACACTCTGCTAACCCAGATCTCTAGCTATCTGCTAGACCTCTCTGCCAGATAATTCCAAACACACAGAAAACTAAGCTCTGCATCAACCAAACCTGCTCTTGACTTTCCTACTTCTGTCAATGATGCCCCATTCCTCTGGTTTTCCAGGCTTGAGACTCCGGACTCCCAGATTCTTCCTTTCAGATTTTGCTACATCTGCTAGGTAAGTCCTCCTAAAACACATCTGCAATCCCATCTTGTTCTGCTCAAATCCATCCCACCGTAGCTAATCAAAGTTTAAGTAAGAGTTGAGTCCTAAGCCTCCTGAACCTGCCACCACCTGAGTTCTTCCAGGTTCGTTCCATCTGGCCTGCCACAGAAAAACTTCACTCCATTGGAATCTTAGACACATCCTCCCATGAACATCTGTATGTGAACAGTACAGTCCATTTGCTGATAGGTCTTCTATGAGTGACTCTTGTTACAAAGATTATTTCCTGCCTCTCTGCTTTCACTTACGCTGTTTCTCTGTCCTCTCTCTCTCTCTCTCTGTTGCTCCATCCCTGCCCCACTGGAACCCTATACCTCCTTCAACATCACACACGAATATCACCTTCTTTCTCTGACCTGGCCAATTTAACATGATATTCTCCTCACCAACCTCCTGACATCAGGAAGCATCTTCTGTGGCTCTAGAGTTCTTCCTATGCTGTAATGACTTGGGAGCTTATCCTTCTCATAAAATGAATCATAAGCTCCTTTCTTGCTCATCATGATATTTCCTGGGTTAATATAATTAATATGGGCCTTGTTAGATTGAATTTCTCTTTCAGCACGAGTCCTGGGCCAGCCCCACCTTTCTCTGAGTCACCATGCATGATGGAGCTGGGAGCCCCCCAGAGATCAAGTTCAGAGCACGGCAGCTCTGCCTGAGCACTCGGCAGTCATAGGGGCGCTCCATGTGCTCTGGACACTGGCATCACTAGCTGAGGATGAGGTCGGGCCTGGGGGCAGAGGGAGAACACTGGTCCAGATGCAGGTAGCAAGTGGAGATGGTGATGCTTGCTTGTGGCAGATTGTGGGAGTCCTCCCCACAAACTTTAGGGAGATGGAGTAATTGACAAACATTCAAAAAACCAACTGAGCTCGTTTCTGAACCAGGGGTCCCCAGTAGTGATGATGACACTGTGCACTTCAAGTGTGGACAAGTATCCTTCACCTCTGCGTCCTCCATCCTGTCTTTGAAAAACGATGTCTGCTCCGCCTGTGGAAAAGGTTAATTGCTAACAGGTGGTCTCAGCCAGACTTCTAAAGTGGACAGAGCTGACTCTGTTGACCCTGTGCACAGGACACCCCCAGGTAGGGGAATTCCAGGAGTGATATCAGGGGCACCCACCAGTTCTTTCTCCCATTACTGTTTCAACTTGTCCCAGAACTTTAACCTGGAGCTGCTGATCCACGGCTCACCCAGGCAGAGATGTTCTGAGCCCAGCCACACACTGCCTGGTTACAGGGAGAGAAGGAGCCTTAAAGCCAGGGAGACCCAAGGGGTGACAGAAGAAGAGAGGAGCCCTGAGCATGTAGGACACTGGGTAACTGCATGAGCAAGCTCTGCCGGGACCAAGCTCCCTGGGGGTTGTCCCAGAGAAAGAATGGAGCCCTGTGAGCCCAAAGGCTGGGACTGTGAGGACGTGTCCTCAGGGAGCCTCCTATCTGCAGGAAGGAGGTAGTTATTGCCCTGGGGGAAACTGGCCTGGGAAGCATTTATGCCAAGGAGAAGAATGAAGGGCCAGACTCCTCCAGAAAATTTTTTCCCTTCCTTCCTCCCTCCTTTACTCTCTCTCTCTCTCTCTCTCTCTCTCTCTCTTTGAGACAGGGTCTCTCTATGTTGCCCAGGCTGGCCTGGAACTCTTGGGTTCAAGCGATCCCCCTGCCTCAGCCTCCTGAGCTGGGATTACAGGCACTCATTATGGTGCCCGGCCAACTTCCAGGGAATTCTTGCCCTTGGGAAGTGGGCATGAGGGCAGGGAGGCAGGGAACTGAGGAGGAGAAAGGAGGACCCCCAAGCTCCACACTGAGGCCTCCAAAGGAGTGTCCTCTAAGAGCCAGGACCCTCGTTTGAGGCACAGGAACAATAAATCCCTCCAGAGTCCACAGGTCTCTTGCATCCAGTCTGAAAGGTTGACTCCCTGCATAGGGAGGGCACTCCTGGGGACAGGGCTCTGCAGGGCTTCAGGTCAGCCTGGCTCTATCTCCCAGCAGGAGCCCGCTGAGGCCTGTTCACCCAGAAGATAGCACCCAGCATGCTCAGGAGCAGGGGCAGCTTCAGAAGGACCACGAGCAGGAAGTGAAGGCTGCTGAGCCGGAACCTGCGGGGGACACGGTGAAAATGAGTCACTTCCCCAGCAGAACCCCCAGGACCCTTCTCTCTTCACCTCTTCCTGGGCTCTGACTCTGGAGGCCAAATAACCCAGGAGCAGCCGGGGAAAGGACCTACACCAGGGCAGCCCCTTCTGTGGCCCCCATCCCTCCTTGTCCCTCCATCAAGGACTGCCCGGGGGGTCTCATCAAGGAGAGGTGATGGAGTGAAGAGAAGAAGGACCCACTTCCAGGCGCACACGCCACAGCACCCTCTCTGTCCCTGTCCCACTTGCAGCCTCTGCTTTATCAACTGACTTCTTAAAATCAGTCCCAACTCTCGCTTTTTTTATTTTCTGAGACAGGGTCTCACTCTGTCACCCAGGCTGGAGTGCAGTGGCGCAATCATGGCTCACTGCAGCCTTGACTTCCTGGGCTCCAGTGATTCTCCCACCTCAGCCTCCTGAGTAGCTGGGACTACAGGCGCGCCACCACGCCTGGCTAATTTTGTGTTTTTTAGTAGAGACGGGGTTTCATCGTGTTGCCCAGGCTGGTCTCAATCTCCTGGACTCGAGTGATCCACCCTCCTCGGCCTCCCAAACTGTTGGGATTGCAGGCGTGAACCACCGCACCTGGCCGCCACCCTCACTGTTTCACTCCAGCTCCTTGTTCTCTCCCCTCAGGGTCTGGCTGCAATATCACAGCCCTTTCTGGGTATCTTTGGGAGAGGAAGGAGAACAGACTCAAACCACAGCCTGAAGCAGGCCCATCTCCCCACAGACCCAACAGACAGCTCCTGGTGGCAAAATCCCCAGCTGAGCAAAGACCTTTGAAAGGGGCCACAGAACCGGGACCCCAAGTCCAGAGCTGGATGGGGAAGGAGACAGAAAGGGATGGGGAGGGGACGAGGGCTGCACATGCACCTGAACTCAACCTTCGACCTGAGTCCCACTAGTTGCCCCGTAGGGAAAGGTGTTCACAGCACAAGTGACATTTCTCACTCAGCATCCACATGCAGACTCAGAGAGTATGAGAATCAGGACCAGAGATGGAGAGAAACAGCAGCCAGTGATGATCTCAGGTCATGGTGCGCCACCACCACCGGCTTCCACCCCAGAGCTGCTCCCTCCATGGCCTCCAGGCCCTAGGCGCTTACCCTGAATTTTTGGTCAACACCTCCCTGGTGCTGAGGTTTCGCCCAGGGTTCACCACCAGGAAGATGGGAGTTGTGGCTGGACGTGTGGTCCTTCTTGGGGTTTTGGTTGCTGTTAGAGATGAAAATGATGCATCGGGCCGTGCCTGGGCTCCCAGCCATGCAAGAAGCACCAGTAAGGAAGTCACACAGAATCACCTACTCACAGAAGAGGCTGGAGAGACCTCTGAAGCCAGATCCAGGGCACCTCCTGGGTGAAACCCCCCAGGGACAAAAGGAGCCCTTACCAGAACCAGCCATGAGAGTTCCCTCCAATAAGTGCCAGGTCTTTCTCCGCATCTCAGAGAAAGACTCTTACCACTCTGCCCACTCTGCCTTCATCCCGCTCTGCCTGGGCTTCTGCAGCCTGATGTGGAGTTCCAGGAGGAGGAGGGGTAGGAGGAGTCTAAAGGAAGATGGTTCAGCCTGTGGCCCAAGAAGCCTTGTAGAGACCATGAGAGGGGGGCCCCGAGCACCCTTCAGGTGGA